GGAGGAGCTTATCACTGTTATAAACCAGGTTAAATACACGAATGCAGCCATTTTGAAGCCTCAAGAAAGTTGGTTGTTTACTGATGTAGAAGGTGATGTTATAGAACTTGCTGTGTATCGTCTCATTAGAACCGACAGCCCCGGAATGACTCAAAAGTGTGGAGTGGTTATCATTACTTATGTCAATCAACGCTGGTGTAACTCGTCTTTTACCCAGGCAACAGTCCAAGCAGCCGCCATTTGCATGAATGTAAGCCAACAATTTTAACTGGTTTCATTTTGTTATTGTTAGGAATTTATACGTATCACCCGACACACAAGCATCAGAGTGGAAACCTGTTGCAGCCTATCTATCCTCGGCCTTACTGCCTAAACTTGACCGCTCAGTCTATGTCATCACCGGAGACTTCAATAAAATTGACAACTCATTCACCTAGGCAGTTGATTTAGCTAACTTAGTGGCCTTTCCGATCAGACTGGAAGCGCAACTAGTTCGTCTTCATATCTCCTGCTTGGCTGTCTTTCGCACAAACACGTGCCTAACTCCGTTATTCCCATCATTGTATCATAAAAGGGTGTCCCGTCGTCCAATGGTAAAACTCACTCGGGTTCCTTGGTTAATAAGTCATTCAAACTGTGAGGCGACGAGATCGTTCAACGACCAGCATTGTGCGACTCCAGGAAATGCTGACGTCTACCGATATTACAGTTTTCAACAACAAAGACCTGTCTATTCAGTGTGATTGTTTCACTGGTTATGTTGTTTGGTTTCGATCTTTGCTGCCCAGTCGAAAACATCTACTTACGAGTCGATAGATCCTCCTCCTTCTAAAGCAAACAACTTAGAAGAAAAAGTGAACGAGCCTTCAAATGCACAATGACTGCAGTTGTCACATAAATCAATCTAGCAATAGAAACGGAGATTGCACAACTGAATAACTTATTCAACAATGCCGTTTGTCCAACCACAACTGTAGAAACCTGTGGAAACTTTTAAGGCAACAATGCGGTAAAAGCTTCAATAAGCAGAGTGGGCCTGTGGATGTAGAGAAACTCGATTTTGTGTTCTGTTCCTCTTCACAGTAAGCATCTACAACCGATTAATTATCTCTGTCCATGTTCTTTGGCTCTGGTCTAAAAATTACATGCCAAAACTTTGAAGTCAACTATGAAATCAGAAATCTGAATTAATGGAAGGCTAGTGAAATCTATACTCATGCACCAGTTGTCTTGAAATTGTGTGCTAATACCCTCAACATGTCCTTGAGAGATATTTTCAATTGGCGCCTACACAGTGGAAGTTTGCTCGTGGTTTGTAGGCCTGTTAGAATAAGGCCCGTGCCGAAGAAGGGATCCACGGAATTCCCTCACATCACCTGTACTTCCGTCATTTTGAAAGTCTTCGAACAACTACTAGTGCCTCGGATCTCAACAACCACGCCAGATATGTATACACCTCATTTGTACACAGACCCCGACGTTCCATGTTGGATGCCGTAGTACATCTTTTTGAATCTGTAGCATCTTCATTGGATGTAAAATGGAAGTATTGCCACGCCTCTTGCTAGCATTTGTCAGCGCTGTTGGCATTGTCGACGGACCAAGCTTGCTTCATCGGCTGTCAGAGAATGGTGTCGAACAGGCAGTGTGTAACCTCATGAGAAACTACTTCCTAAACGGATCTCATTTTACCCAGCTAAACGGTATAATGTCGTACCCACTTACTGATATCTGGGGTGCCTTACAAGCAGCGATTCTCTCCCCCCCTTCTTTTTCTATACATCGTAAGACTTCCAATTCCGTCAAACGTTACTAGATGTAAGTAGGTTGATGACATAGTCAGGTAGTATTGCTTCAACTGCTGTACCATCAACGACGCTGCACATCGGTCTGGACGAACTTTAGCAGTGGTCGTCGTGCCGATCCCCTACTCTCAACGCTTCCAAAAGCCGCGATGTAACTTTCTATCTTGTCCACACTAACAAACGTCTGACTGTGACAAACTCTTCTCCCTTATGATCGCAAGCGAACAAACTATACCTCGCTTATCCAATTAAATCCCTTGGTGTATATTTATCTCACAATCAGCCTTGGTCAACACACGTCGATGAAACGTTCCGCAAGGTGCGGAAATTGCCATTCTATGCTTTCAGACTCAAAAGACTTTTATTACTCTGCACTATAATTTACAAATTCGTGACTGCCTGTATTCTTCCCAAGTGATTATATTGCTCGCTTATCGTTTTTCCTGGTCTTTTCCGATAAAACTTCACATTGTTTGTGCGTTTCATTAAGCTCATTTATAAGTGCGGTGGATGGTGCAGGCAGTCTCTGGTCGTCTACATCGTTACTAAGCACTTAGTGCATGTGGAACGTTTGAGCAAATGTTTTAAATGACCGTTTTCGACACCTTCACCCTGATGTTTCCAAAGCCGTATCCTGCTTCTATACCCGCTATAAATTTAGGGTTTTGTTTTGTCGCAAAACATGTCATCACAAATATAGCTTACCCTATTTATCCCCTGTTCTTCTGGACACCAAGGAACTTAACTGTATCATGCTTGAACGCTTACTTGAGTTAGGTGCATGCATGTTTGCTTTCTTTTGCATTTTTCTTTCAATTTCATGTCTATGTTATGCCTCACTACATTCGCAGTGCTAAGGTAAAATGCAGAAAATGTTCCCAGTTGGGTTCACAAAGTCTATTTTGACTTGCCTGACTTGACTTATATACATCAAATCGTAATGAACACGAGCGTTAAAATTCCGACCATCCGATAACACAGAATCTAACATCGGCAACACCTAGTTCAATTTCCGCACCCCAAGACTGAATAGTGTCAAGCAATTGACTCAGAAAACCAAACACCTTCTCGAAATATTCATCAATGATGTGTTACTGTCGTGCATTAGCACTGGAGACAGTACCTCTTTTAGAAGGCGAGTAGTGTATCCCAATAAAAATCAGTCCGAGAGAGAGTGAAGTTAAAAGCATGTACTTTAGCGTCGGTTTCTGTGACTTTACAGATCCTGGTAAATCGAACAACCATTAAATCGAATTTGGTAACCTGCTTGTATAACTAACTAAAACCCCAAACTCTCCTGATAGATAAGTACATCATGCCCAACTATATTACCTCCATGCCGAAATTCCTTGCTGAGGATGTCTCCTGCACTTCGGAGCAACTTTTTCGCTTGTATGCACCCTACTTTGTTGTTGTTGCCGTGTTTCATAACCCGTTCGCTTCCTACATGGTACGTATTCTCTGCACTTTCGAACTCAGACTTCCCATTCGCACCCATAAAGTTCAGGTGCAGCCGATTTAAAGTTACGAGACAAACGTTTGTATAATTACAATGGAAGTATCTCTTAAGAATTCTTGAATGCAATAGGAAATTCTCCGTAACTAACACTGTCCTCTTGAAGCAACCAGTGGAGTTTCAACTTTAGGGGTGGTTTTGCAAATGCTGATTGCATGCCGTATGACAGTAACACAAATATGCAAATAGCCTAACAAACTATGCTTCTGTATTTGCTACCATCTTCTATTTTAATCAGTTTGGCGGAATATTTTTACTGTTACGCATTTCTCAGTAACCTCTGCAGCAGTGGACTTACAAGGTCTAGAAAACGTCTGCAAATATCCGTCTCATTTCGTTGGGTTAAAAGGGAGGTATCCACATCTGCGAAAACGGAAGGAAAATCTGAATTAGAGGTGGACGTTAACCAGAACGGACTGCCTTGTAAATACAGAATCCCGTCATAAATAAATAAATAAATAAATAGTTCATTTTCGCTCAAAAACGATTGCAAACTTTTATACTGCAATTAATACTATGCGTCTAGAAGCCACAATATTTTACTTGATCTAAGGTAGTAGAAATAAGAACGAGATACTTTCCAGTTCCAATAATATAATAAACATACTAAGCGGAATGGTGTACCGTGCAAACTCACAGAGATATTGATCACGTCCCACTGTTGTATGCAGAAGAAAATATATAAAACGCCATTAACAGCGGGCAGGTACCAGCATCTGGTCTCTTGTGGTCTGGTATGTTATAAAGGCAATCTCTACCCCTAGGGTGGCGGGTAGCCTCCAAATAGTCAAAGTGAAGTCCGGATAACCGTCTACATCCGCCAATCCTAAAGCTTGGAAGCATGTATACTATACGAAATTTTATGAGCTCATTCAAATCTGACAGCTTCTCCCTGCTCGTTCCTCACAGTCATGCACATACCCCTTTCAATTGTTACATTTTGATCCTTCTCTATGTGGGATTAGTCTCTCGCATTATCGAGAAATAATAGATTTATTTATTTAATTATTTTAAAACGAGTGGGACTAAAGCCGTAATAAAATGCAGTAGATGGCTAGTAGCCGAATATGGATGAGAGCTCACATTCGCTGTCATGCCAAATGAACTCCGGCTAAAGATTGTAAAACTCGTCAGTCAATTAGCTCAGTTGTGCCGGCAAGACTCTTGCTTGTAACGACCCGTGAAGAAGACTAGCAACCAGCAGGAAATGTACTTCCGAATCAGAAAGAACCCTACGTTCGCACACAAATGTATATGCTCCTACGGAACCAAGAAAACGAATCTGGCTGTACAGACCAAATATGCCAAATTCGCCGTGTTTGTTCCATACAAAAGCTTAATTTGGTGCCGACGTTTTGCGCTATTCAGTCGATATCAGCCAGTCAGCTCCGCTCTGAACTGTATAAGCAACATTTCTCCGGAAATCCGGTGTCCCCAACAGCTAATGGCGGTTCATTGAAGAGTTCGTTGAGTGGTAGTCAGGCACCTAAGCGCGCACGTCAAAACCGCCGTTAAGCAGTGTGGACATATTGATCGATGGGGATGTCGGCACACACATAGTGCTGACTAATTGGACAGTGCGAGCGCTTTCCATCTGCTTGTTGATTCCATCTCATTCCTGCTCTGATTAGAAAGCGAATGAAATTGGCTCATTCATGACCTTCACAGTCAAATTGCTTGAACCATTTTCGGTTCACAATTTACTCCTCGACCTAGTTTACCATGTAAATCGGACGCCGCTACGTACGCCGTCTGTAGTCTTTGTTCCTTGGTGAGCACCTAGTTTTCAGTCGCAATTCTCCTAGTCAAACTGTATTATTTCTGCCTGTCGTTCATCGATACTATCTTGTACATCTGGCTCAAGTGGTCTTGGTTATTTCGTGTTGCCGGCTCCCACTTGACCCCTTTATTGTTGACATCGTATCGGTAAATGGCACATAGATGACCGGTTACCATCAAAATAGACTGAAGCAGGTGTCTGGCAATTGTGAGCACGACACATCAGAACGTTGAAAGCAGTATGCAAGTTGATGCTAATCCCAACTCCAACTAATCTGATGATGACAGCGCCTCATAGAAGTGAATTCTATCATATCATCCGAACATACATACTAAACTCCTATTCAACCAAACTACTCACACCGACCCACTGGGAATAGGTATAACTATGTGTTTTTCTATTGCTACCACGCAAAATAGACTATGATGAAGTTGGTGAATATCGTAGAACTTAGAAGGCAAAGAGAAGTTGAAGCCTAACGATATGACTTCATACATTCCGGATGTATTCTTGGAGCGGCTGGCACAAACTGCTGATAATTTGAGCTGCGTTCACCGTTATGTAAAAGTAGTTGTCCAGAATTTTGATAGTCGCAACATCTAGTCTTACAATTCGGAATACACTAATGAGGTGTTGGCGTCAATAACCGCTCACACTGGTACAGGCTAACAGTGCACATGCTCAAGTCATAGAAAAATGAATATGATTATGATATTTTAAGATAAATCTCAGTATCCTGATTTCTAATAGACAAACTATGCTGTATGCTTACCGATTGCTTTTGACCAGAAAATATTAATGAACTGAATCGATATGTTCGAATTAGTGTATGCAATGTTTTGTAGATGTCGCACAGGAGCGATCCATAACTCCGGATAGTCCCAAGAAACCTTCGCCCTGTTTTGGTATACAACTGTACAAAGGAATCCGGCTGTGTTATTCCGAGCTTCACAGTGTACAGCTTTCAACAAAATATCTTCACTTGTTCCACCGCGAAACTGCAAAAATAAACGCGAAATTGGTAGACAGGTGTTGCTAACAGCCTTAGTCATACGGTTGTGTGCCAATGTGAATATAATTCTTAGCAAAACTCTGAGGTTTGCATTCAGGTTATCACTCGGACGCGTAGTTGTGAGAGTACGCAAAAGGATCACTTGGTCAATAGTTTAGTTTTAAAGCAGAATAAACGATAGTGTTAAATACAGGCTGTCAGTTTATGGCTGCAGTGTTGCTTAGAGCAAAAGGAATTCCAGCGATTTTAAACTATGTGGAAACTGCGTGCTACAGTTTCTGGGAGAAAACACCTGTTCTTGGCTGCCCTTTGGTCATGCTTCCCAGAAGAACTCACCAAAAAATGTACCGTTTCCTCGGGATTCGAATTGGCCTCCACGTGCAATACATACGCTGAGAACAGGAGGAAAACAAACATAGATTAGGGGAATAAATGCAACTAACTTATATTTGCCTTGAAAGGTAAAACAGTGGGTTCCCTTCAGCCATTTCGTCAGAGCAGGGAGAAGACATAAGTTGCGATATGTCAACATTTCGATTGTGCACACCAGTCGCAATCACAACACAAGCGGAATTCATAGACATTTATATACTGGGAAAAATTGACACACTAATCAAAATGTCAAAATCAAGACCACGGTAATCTACTTGATTTGCTCAATAGTTGCTGTGCACAAACACAGGTTGATCAG